AAGCATGATAACAAAACAAGAGAACCAGAATTGACGGCTTTCTATAGTCTAATGAAAGAGATATTGATAAACCTAGAAATCGTTTGCTGATTGATGAGTTTGGCTATAACAATGATAACGAAAAAGGAGCAAAATTGACGGTTTTCTACAGGCTCACGAAAAAACTATTGACAAACGTAGAAATAATTTATTGATGATGAGTTTGGCTATAAGCATGATTAAAAAAAAAAGTTGATGGGTTTCTGCAACGTAATGAAAGAGCCCTTGATAAACGTAAACATTATTTGTTCATTGATGAGTGCTGCTATAACCATGGTAACAAAACAAGAGAGACAAAATTGACGGCTTTCTACAATCCGATGAAAGAGAACTTGATAAACATAGAAATCATTTGCAGATTGATGAGATTGACTATAACAATAATAACGAAAAATATTAAATAAAATTGACGGTTTTCTGCAAGCTTAGGAAAAAGAACTTGATAAACGTAGAAATTATTTGCTCATTGATGTGTTTGGCTATATAACCATGATAACAAAACAAGAGAACCTGAATTGACGGCTTTCTATAGTCTAATGAAAGAGATCTTGATAAACCTAGAAATCGTTTGCTGATTGATGAGTTTGGCTATCACAATGATAACGAAAAAGGAGCAAAATTGACGGTTTTTTGCAGGCTCACGAAAAAACTATTGACAAACATAGAAATCATTTACTGATGATGAGTTTGGCTATAACCATGATAACAAAAAAAGAGGAGAAGATTTGACTGTTTTCTGTAGTCTCATGAAAGAGCTCTTGATAAACGTAGAAATCGTTTGCTAATTGAACAGTTTTGCTATAACCATTATAACGGGAAATGAGCAAAATTGATAAGTTTTTACAGAATGATGAAAGAGCTCTTGATAAACGTAGAAATCATTTGCTGCTTGATGAGATAGGATATAACCATGATAACAAAAAAATGAGCGAAACTAACGTTTTCTTCCAGCCTAATGAAACACCTATTGATAAATGTAGAAATTATTTTCTAATTTATGAGTTTATAACCATGATAAAAAAAAAACAAGAAAAGCAAAAATGAAGGTTTTATGCAGCTTCATGAAAAGCTCTTGATAAACGTATAAAACATTTGTTGATGGTGAGTTTGGCTATAACCAGGATAACAAAAAACAAGAAAGCAAAATTGACGGTTTTCTCCTATTTGATGAAAGAGCTCTTGATAAATGTATAAATTATTTGCTAATTGAAGAGTTTTACTATAACCATTATAACGCAAAATAGGTAAAATTGACAGTTTTTTGCAACTTTATAAAATTGCCCTTGATAACCATAAATATCATTTGCTGATTGATGAGTTTGGCTATAACCATGATTAAAAAAATAAAATTGATGGGTTTCTACAACGTAATGAAAAAGCCCTTGATAAACGTAAAAATTATTTGCTCATTGATGAGTGTGGCTATAACCATGATAAGAAAACAAGAGAGACAAAATTGACGGCTTTCTTCAATCCGATAAAAGAGAACTTGATAAACATAAAAAATCATTTGCAGATTGATGAGTTTGACTATAACTATAATAACGAAAAACAATAAACAAAATTGACGGTTTTCTGCAAGTTCATAAAAAGAACTTGATAAACGTAAAAATTATTTGCTCATTAATGTGTTTGGCTATAACCATGATAACAAAACAAGAGAACCAGAATTGAAGGCTTTCTATAGTCTAATGAAAGAGATCTTTATAAACCTAGAAATCGTTTGATGATTGATGAGTTTGGCTATAACAATGATAACGAAAAAGGAGCAAAATTGACGGTTTTCTGCAGGCTCACGAAAAAACTATTGACAAACGTAGAAATAATTTACTGATGATGAGATTGGCTATAACCATGATAAAAAAAAAAGTTGATGGGTTTATGCAACGTAATGAAAGAGCCCTTGATAAACGTAAAAATTATTTGTGCATTGATGAGTGCTGCTATAACCATGATAACAAAACAAGAGAGACAAAATTGACGGCTTTCTGCAATCCGATGAAAGAGAACTTGATAAACATAGATATCATTTTGCAGATTGATATGTTTGACTATAACTATAATAACGAAAAATAATGAACAAAATTGACGGTTTTCTGCAAGCTCATGAAAAGAACTTGATAAATGTAGAAAACATTTGTTGATGGTGAGTTTTGCTATAACCATTATAACGGGAAATGAGCAAAATTGATAAGTTTTTACAGAATGATGTAAGAGCTCTTGATAAACGTAGAAATCATTTGCTGCTTGATGAGATAGGCTATAACCATGATAACAAAAAAAATGAGCGAAACTAACGGTTTTTTTACAGCCACCTATTGATAAACTTATAAATTATTTTCTGATTTATGAGTTTATAACCATGACAAAAAAACAAGAAGAGCAAAAATAAAGGTTTTATGCAGCCTCATGAAAAAGCTCTTGATAAACGTAGAAAACATTTGTTGATGGTGAGTTTGGCTATAACCAGGTTAACAAAAAACAAAAAAGAAAAATTGACGGGTTTCTCATATTTAATGAAAGAGCTCTTGATAAATGTATAAATCATTTGCTAATTGAATAGTTTTGCTATAACAATTATAACGGAAAATGGGTAAAATTGACAATTTTCTTCAACTTCATAAAAATGCCCTTGATAACCATAAATATCATTTGCTGATTGATGAGTTTGGCTATAACCATGATTAAAAAAAAAAGTTGATGGGTTTCTCCAACGTAATGAAAGAGTCTTGATAAACGTAAAAATTATTTGCTCATTGATGAGTGTGGCTATAACCATGATAACAAAACAAGAGAGACAAAATTGACGGCTTTCTGTAATCCGATGAAAGAGAACTTGATAAACATAGAAATCCTTTGCAGATTGATGAGTTTGACTATAACTATAATAACGAAAAATATTGAATAAAATTGACGGTTTTCTTCAAGCTTATGAAAAGAATTTGATAAACTTAGAAATTATTTGCTCATTAATGTGTTTGGATATAACCATGATAACAAAACAAGAGAACCAGAATTGACGGCTTTCTATAGTCTAATGAAAGTGATCTTTATAAAACTAGAAATCGTTTGATGATTGATGAGTTTGGCTATAACAATGATAACGAAAAAGGAGCAAAATTGACGGTTTTCTACAGACTCACGAAAAAACTATTGACAAACGTAGAAATCATTTACTGATGATGAGTTTGACTATAACCATGATAACAAAAAAAGAGAAGAAGATTTGACGGTTTTATGTAGTCTCATGAAAGAGCTCTTTGTAAACGTAGAAATCGTTTGCTGATTGAAAAGTTTTGCTATAACCATTATAACGGAAAATGAGCAAAATTGATAAGTTTTTACAGAATGATGAAAGAGCTCTTGATAAACGTAGAAATCATTTGCTGCTTGATGAGATAGGCTATAACCATGATAAAAAAAAAATGAGAGAAACTAACGTTTTTTTTACAGCCTAATGAAGCACCTATTGATAAACGTAGAAATTATTTTCTGATTTATGAGTTTATAACCATGATAAAAAAAATAAGAAGAGCAAAAATGAAGGTTTTATGCAGCTTGATGAAAGAGCTCTTGATAAACGTAGAAATCATTTGCTGCTTGATGAGATAGGCTATAACCATGATAACAAAAAAATGAGCGAAACTAATAGTTTTTTTACAGACTAATGAAACACATGTTGATAAACGTAGAAATGATTTTCTGATTTATGAGTTTATAACCATGTGAAAAAAACAAGAAGATCAAAAATGATGGTTTTATGTAGCCTCATGAAAAAGCTCTTGATAAACGTAGAAATTATTTGTTGATGATGAGTTTGGCTATAACCAGGATAACAAAAAGAAAAGAGATCAAAATTGACGGTTTTCTTCTGTCTGATGAAAGAGCTCTTGATAAATGTATAAATTATTTTCTAATTGAAGAGTTTTGCTATAACCATTATAACGGAAAAATGGGTAAAATTGACTGTTATCTGCATTGTTATAAAAATGCCCTTAAAAACCGTAAATATCATTTGCTGATTGATGAGTTTGGCTATAACTATGATTAAAAAAAAAATTGATGTGTTTCTGCAACGTAATAAAAGAACCCTTGATAAACTTAAAAATTATTTTCTCATTGATGAGTGTGGCTATAACCATGATAACAAAATAAGAGATACAAAATTGACGGTTTTCTACAATCCGATGAAAGAGAACTTGATAAACGTAGAAATCATTTGCAGATTGATGAGTTTGACAAGAAATAGTCAGTATTACCGACGAGATGCTTTGTTGGTAATTATTTTTTGGTTTTTTTCGGTTCACAATCAAAACTCTAAAGTTGGCGACTGAACGTTAACTTTTTCTGGTGTTCTAAATCGGATGTCATGAATCCTGAAAACTGTTGGGGTCAGATCCCACACATTTTTGGTAGGATCCACTTGGATCTGTCCACGTCACAATTTGGTATGCGTAATCCGGATCTCAGTATTACCGACGAGTTGCTTTGTTGGTAAGTATTTTTTTTTCCCGTTTACAATCAAAACTCTAAAGTTGGCGACTGGACATTCACTGTTTATGGTGTTCTTAATCGGATGTCAGGAATCCTGAAAATGACCAAGTACCGATCATCACACGGAAGGAGAATGCCATAGAGTGATGATGTTCGTTGATTTCTTATTTTGTTGGTGAATGATTTTAAAAGATGATTTATTATTATTTTTTAGCATTTATAATATTATTGAATTTTTTAAATTTCATCATTTTCCATAATTTTATCACACTAAATCCTAAACAATTTACCATATTTTTCTTACACTACCAATTAACACCTAAACAATCCCTTATTTCACATGATTTTACCATTTATATAGCATTCTTCCCGCGCATGCGCGCGGGCAATCACCTAGTTGTATTGATTAGCTGATAAAATCAATTAAATGGAAAGAAATCCCAATAATAACGCTGTAATAGAAGAGAGAGAGACGTGTGATCTGGGTGAAAAATGCGTGAAGAAGTTGACTTGAGCTTGACCATACCCTCGAAGATTTTGGGAAAGCGAGACAGAGAAAAAAAAGGTAAAGAAGAAACAAACAAAAACAAAAAAGAGAGAGCTAAAATGCAGCAAAAGGACCCAATTCTTCTCACTAGTGCCACTCACAAGTTTCTTCCTGCTTTGACCATGCCGTACGGTGAAATCGAAATCGGCGACGATTTTCGCTCTCTCGACTGTGACGCCGATGTTTCCTCCGACATTCACCTCTCTTCTTCTTCCTCTTTTTATTCGTTTTCTTCTTCTTCGTCTTCTTTGTGTACCGATGATCCTTCATCGAAAATGGAGAAAGACCCTAGAAAAATCGCCAGGAGGTTTGATTTTTCCCGTCTTTGCGAACATCTTTCAGAGCTTGCTTTTTCTTCTTTGTTTGCTTGCTTACGATTTTCTACGGATGGTGTTTTATCGTTGTATATGTTTTCAGCTGAGTAATTGTTAATTTGCTTTTCCCGGAAAAAATGGTGATCGGACTAGGTTTTTTGTGTGTTGATTGTGGTGAGGAGGCTTGATGGTTTTCTTTGGTGTATGAAGGTATCAGGTGGAGCTGTGTAAGAAAGCAATGGAGGAGAACATTATTGTTTATTTGGGAACAGGTTGTGGGAAGACTCACATTGCAGTGATGGTTATATATGAGCTTGGTCATTTGGTTCTTAGTCCCAAGAAAAGTGTTTGTATTTTTCTTGCTCCCACGGTGGCTTTGGTTGAACAGGTGTGATGCTGTTCATCTTGATAATACGGCGGTGTTTAATGGAGCTGATTGATTAGTTACTTTCTTCAAGTTCTAACTCTCTTGAGTTTTTTTTGTTGTTTACAGCAAGCTAAGGTCATAGCGGACTCTGTCAACTTCAAAGTTGCAGTCCATTGTGGAGGCAAGAGGATTGTGAAGAGCCACTCTGAGTGGGAGAGAGAGATTTCAGAGAATGAGGTGATTTCCTGTTTTCTCATTCTATTTTTAGCCTATAAGTCTCATTTAAGTTGATTGTTATTTCCATTTTACACTTATGTAGGAACCATCATCACTTTATCATATGCGATCATCTTTCAATTGTTTTGTTATTGTGCCTGAATTTTCCTGTAGGTTCTTGTTATGACTCCACAAATACTTCTGCACAACTTACAGCACTGTTTCATCAGGATGGAGTGTATCTCCCTTCTAATATTTGATGAGTGTCACCATGCTCAACAACAAAGCAACCATCCTTATGCGGAAATCATGAAGGTATCTTCCTTCACATTATTGGTCCTGAAACATTATTAACATATAATAATCTTTTCGTTGCTCGAATTTGTTACAATGCAGGTTTTCTATAAATCAGAAAGTTTACAACGGCCTCGAATATTTGGAATGACTGCATCTCCAGTTGTTGGCAAAGGTAGGCCCCATTTTTCTAATGTTGACTCCGGATTACTAGCCCATTACTGTGCAAATATTTTATTATGAGAGGGTATAAATCATTCCCATAGAAATTATATAGTCGACAGAATTAGCTTCTGCGTTGAGTTCCTTTTGTTCTTTCTATATGGGTTGTGAGGTTTGTCGTGATCTTGATAATACATGTTTCTTTTGATCATCATGTTCTATACATGGTCCACCTTTTGACAGTTCTACCTACTTTTCAGGATCTTTTCAATCAGAGAATTTATCGAAAAGCATAAATAGCCTTGAAAATTTGCTCGATGCCAAGGTATGCTGGTTCTGAAATTCCCGGTGAGGTTGGCTGTTGGCAGATGACATTTCTCTACCTTAGAAGTTGAAATTCTAATTTGCATTTTTGGTATTTAAGAATGCAAGATATCTTTCCTAGAAATGATTGATGCCGGCTTATTTATATCGAGCCCTAGCACGCTGTGTTTTGGGTGATACCAAATTAGAAATAATAATTCTTGATTTTTGTTTCTATGGTATTTTCCGCCCAAGCTTATGGTACCAAACTAATCATTTATTGAAAGTCTAAAGCAGAAATATCTTTCTCATAGTTAAATTCGTACTAATGTTCTTACATTCAATTGGTCTTTCCAAACAATGTTCTAACATTTCCCTTTTCGTCTCCCGTGATCTGAAAGGTTTATTCAGTGGAAAGCAATGTCCAGCTGGATGGTTTTGTTTCATCTCCTATAGTCAAAGTATATTATTATCAGTCAGCTATAAGTGATGCATCTCAATCAACCATCAGATATGAAAACATGCTGGAGGACATCAAACAGCGGGTTGTCTAAATGTGTCTCTTAACTCTTTTGGCTCACTCTTCCTAGTTATATGAGCTGATATTTCTTCCTAATATGAACAGTGCTTGACATCAATTAAGCTGCAGATTGATACCCATCAAACACAAACCCTCCTAAATATGAAAAGGCTTCTCAAAAAAACTCATGATAATCTCATATATTCTCTGGTGAATCTTGGCCTCTGGGGAGCAATACAGGTAGACATTTCATACTGAACGAATTTATAGATTTGATATATGGTTTTCAGTTTTTGCTTTCAGATGTATTGATTACTTGTATTTCCTGGTTTCTTCAATGTTTTACCAAGCAGCTGATGACATGTTTTAGGGTACAGTAATATTTATAATTGTCAACTATATTCAACTTTTGCATTAGTAGTGTACTAGATCGAAGTCAAAGACTACAATGATTGGCAAGATTCACAATAGCTGTACAATACGGAAAAAGTGGAAAATAAATAAGGGTTTCTGTTAGATGCTTGCTGAATAGCTGTATAAAAATTCCTAGAGAATTTTTTTGGTAAGGTTCTGTGCATATTTCTTTAATTTCTTACGACCATCTAGCCTCCATATGTAACCTTAGCTCTTGCCAAATTAAATCTATGTATGTTGTTTCTTGTTTGTGTCATATGTGTCTTAATGCAAGTTGTAGCGTGCTAATGTTTATTCTCTTCGTTTTTTGGAGGCTGCTAAAATTCAATTGAATAGTGATGTACAAGAAGAGCCTGTGGGCGAGAATCCTAAGTCAAAGATATGTGATACATATCTTTCTCTGGCTGCTGAGGTCCTCTCTTCTGGTGTTGCTAAAGGTAAGATGACATAGTACCATAGTGAGTGCTTTTTTCTGAACCTTAAATTTTCTTCCAATACGGCCATAGTAGCAACAGAAACGTTTCTTATTACGTATATTTTCCGGATCTGCAAAATATATTTAACTAACTTCTGCACTATATTTGTTATTTCCATGTGAATGCCCTATTAAACAAGCCATTGATTGCCTCATTATTTGTTCTCATCTTTACTGTGGTTGTAGATGAGAGTGCATCTGAACTCCTCAGCTTAGCAGCGTTGAAGGAACCATTATTCTCTAGAAAGCTAGTTCAATTGATTGAGATCCTTTCAGTATTCAGGTTGGTACCTGAGAGAGGTTACAGAGTCTTAAAATGCTTTCTTGCTGAATATTCCATAAAGCATGTGTGAAGTAAAGAAATGAATGAACTGTCCTTAAACTTTATTGAGTAGCAACGTAACCAAAACCCCATGCGTTTTCTCATTGTTAGCATTTGCGCGAAATTTACAAACTTACTCTATGTAAGAAAGTCTAGTCTTGTGTACTTTTCTTTCCTCTATACTTCTTAAAATTTGTTTCGTTCGTAAGATACAACTTAGAACCTAGAAATGATACACAAGAAAATTGCCTATCATCGATAGATCTCTATTCAGAAGTCAGAATATTGCCTTTTCTGAGTAAACAACTCCCAGCTCTTAAATCACCATCAAAAAGACATTGGATATTTCTTTATGAACATGGTAGTTGTTATTGTCCACTGGGTCCTGTGAAATCTTGATTGCTTTTCATCACATTGTGCTTGATTCGCTTGTCATGCTCATGAGTGCATTATGGAAGAGAAGCCAATGGTATTTCTTGCAGTAAACTTCCATGTTTCTTTTTCTTTCAGGCTAGAGCCACACATGAAGTGTATAATATTTGTCAATCGGATTGTGACTGCAAGAACATTGTCATGCATACTAAATAACTTGGAACTGCTACGGTCTTGGAAGTCTGATTTCCTTGTTGGACTTAGTTCTGGACTGAAGAGCATGTCAAGGAGGGGTATGGAAACAATACTTAAACGGTTCCAATCTAAAGAGGTGATACTTTAGCCATCTTTAAACCTATAGTTAGTATTGGGAGATATCTGCACTTTATATGCCTGTATACATAATATTTAAACAAAGATACATGCAAACACATATTTGAATAAGCATATATTGTCTAGGATTAATCGTCAAGCCACTTCCAGTTAACTTCTAGAGGTTCATTTTCCTGTTCCAGCTCAATTTACTGGTTGCCACTAAAGTTGGTGAAGAAGGCCTTGATATTCAGACATGCTGTCTTGTGATCCGTTATGATTTACCAGAGACTGTTACCAGCTTCATACAGTCCAGAGGTCGTGCTCGAATGCCTCAGTCTGAATATGCGTTTCTAGTGGACAGGTGTGTAGGAATGAGAAAATGACAAGGCCATAAGTATGAGTCCCTACGCGATTAACAATGTTTTCTTTTATGATTCAGCGGAAACGAGAAAGAGATGGATCTTATTGAAAATTTTAGAGTAAATGAAGATCGAATGAATCAGGAAATTACTTCCAGAACGTCAGAGGAAACTTGTCCTATACTTGATGAGGAGTTATACAAAGTTCATGAGACAGGAGCTTGTATCAGTGGTGGAAGTAGCATCTCCCTTCTCTATAAATATTGTTCTAGGCTTCCACATGATGAGTAAGGCTTCCAATTTTCTGTTGTGTGCTTTTTAAAAAGATTCACCTTCCACAGTAAATGGGAGCTTGTTCGTGTCATAACTGAATCTCCATTTGCCACATTTTGATTCCCTCAGATTTTTTCAGCCCAAGCCAGAGTTTCAATTCAAGCCTGTTAATGAATTTGGTGGAACTATCTGTCGCATAACTTTACCTGCTAATGCTCCTATAAGTGAAATCGTCAGTTCACTACTACCTTCAACTGAAGCTGCTAAAAAGGATGCTTGTCTAAAGGCTGTGTATGAGTTGCACAACTTGGGTGTACTTAACGATTTTCTGTTGCCAGATTCAAAGGATGAAATTGAGGACGAGTTGTCAGATGATGAATTTGATTTTGATAACATCAAAGGTGCATGAGTGGTTCAGTTATAAATCTAAGTTGTTTATGCTATTCGTTCGTTGTATAATGACAGATATTTTACTTCCTGCTAGGTGAAGGTTGTTCACGAGGTGAACTGTATGAGATGGTTGTTCCTGTCTTATTTAAACAAAAGTGGGATTCATCAAGAAGTTGTGTCAATCTTCATTCTTACTACATAAGGTTTGTGCCTCATCCCGCAGATAGGAGCTACAAAAAGTTTGGTTTCTTCATGAAGTCACCTCTTCCCATTGAGGCTGACACTATGGATATCGATCTTCACCTTGCTCATCAAAGATCTGTAAGTGTAAAGATTTTTCCATCAGGAGTCACAGAATTCGACAACGATGAGGTACTGAGCTTTTAATTAGATAAATAATGAAACTAGAATGAACTTATCTTATATGATTATGTTTATACAGATAAGGCTAGCTGAGCTTTTCCAGGAGGTTGCCCTGAAGGTTCTTTTTGAACGGGGGGAGCTGATCCCGGAATTTGTGCCCTTAGAACTGCAAGACTCTTCTAGAACAAGCAAATCTACATTCTACCTTCTTCTTCCAATCAGTCTGCATGATGCAGAAAGTGTTATATCTGTAGATTGGGTGACTATCAGAAGCTGCTTGTCATCACCAATCTTTAAGACTCCATCTGTTTTAGTGGAAGATATAGTTCCTCCTACGGGATCTTATTTAAATCTAGCAAATGGCTGCTGGAATATTGATGATGTGAAGAACAGCTTGGTTTTTATGACCCACAATAAACAGTTTTACTTTGTAGCTGATATCTGCTACGGAAGAAATGGGTTCAGTCCTGTTAAGGAATCTAGCACCAAAAGCCATATGGAGAACATATATAAGTTGTAAGCTACTACAGAGCATGTATTCTCTTTTTTTTTTCTTTCTTGTTAATGTTCTTTATCCTTTTCTACAGCGCAGTATAACAATCCATTATAAAATTGGTTTGGACTCTAGACTTTAGGATCGTATGATTTTCTGAGTTTAAGAACCTTCTCATTTTTATGCGCAAACTAGGTATGGCGTGGAACTCAAGTATCCTGGACAGCCACTCTTGCGTGTGAAACCACTTTGTCATGTTCGGAACTTGCTTCACAACAGAATGCAGAAGAATTTGGGTAGATTTTCTTAACTGATTTTTGCATATCACAATTTTCTTGTGCATGTACATGTACTCACAGCACATCTTTGCATACTCTAATTGTTTACCATTCTCATGTTTTGGTTCAAATGCTAATAATAAAATTCTCACATTGCCAAAAACAGAACCACAAGAACTTGATGAATACTTCATAGAGATTCCTCCCGAGCTTTCTCAGTTAAAGATAAAAGGATTATCTAAAGAAATCGGAAGCTCGTTATCCTTGCTACCATCAATCATGCATCGTGTGGAGAATTTACTCGTGGCTATTGAACTGAAACATGTGATGTCTGCTTCGATCCCTGAGATAGCTGAAGTTTCTGGTCACAGAGTATGATCTCATTTCACTTGATAACCCATTTGCTTGATTCCTAAAATTTGTTGATGTTTGATACTTTACTGACTGAGTGAACTGGTATAGGTACTCGAGGCGCTCACAACAGAGAAATGTCATGAGCGCCTTTCTCTTGAAAGGCTTGAGGTGCTTGGTGATGCATTCCTCAAGTTTGCTGTTAGCAGACACCTTTTTCTACACCATGATAGGCTTGATGAAGGAGAGTTGACTCGGAGACGCTCTAAAGCCGTTAACAATTCCAACTTGTGTAGGCTTGCAATAAAAAGAAATTTGCAGGTTCTCAGAATACCTATAAATGTTTTGATTGCTGATACATTTTAAATCTGGTTTGATCTGTGATTGCTGCACAGAACACAAATACTGATCATGTGCATAACCGTTGCCTCCATACATTTAATACATTCTCAGTTACATATTTTCAAAAACAAATCTTTTAGATAGAGGCAGACAAAAACGTATTAATTTAATTATTTAGTTTTGGATAATATTAACTTGTTCGTTTTCCCAGGTCTACATCCGTGATCAAGCATTAGATCCTACTCAGTTCTTTGCATTTGGCCATCCATGCAGAGTAACCTGTGACGAGGTAACGAGTGAAGAGGTTCATTCCTTGAATAGGGTTCCTGGGCTCTTGGAGTCAAATAGTGAAATCAGATGTAGCAAAGGACATCATTGGTTGTACAAGAAAACAATTGCTGATGTGGTTGAGGCTCTTGTGGGAGCTTTCTTAGTTGACAGTGGCTTCAAAGGTGCTGTGAAATTTCTTAGCTGGATTGGTGTAAATGTTGATTTTGAATCCTTGCAAGTACAAGATGCTTGTATTGCAAGCAGGCGCTACATGCCCCTCACTACTCGCAATAATTTGGAGGCCCTTGAAAACCAGCTTGACTATAACTTCCTCCACAAAGGTCTACTTGTACAAGCCTTTATCCATCCATCTTACAACAGGCATGGAGGAGGCTGCTACCAGGTATTTTTATGTTTCCTTATTTTTCATTTCTCTCGATAATATCCATCTATGGTAGCCAACTTTCTTTGATTGGGGGTCCGCAGAGATTGGAGTTTCTTGGGGATGCTGTTCTGGACTACTTGATGACATCCTATTTTTTCACTGTCTTCCCGAAACTGAAACCTGGTCAACTGACCGATCTAAGATCGCTCTCAGTAAATAATAAGGCGCTAGCAAATGTTGCTGTCAGTTTTTCGCTAAAGAGATTTCTATTTTGCGAGTCCGTATATCTCCATGAAGCTATAGAGGATTATACCAATTTCCGGGCAGCGTCCCCATTGGCAAGTGGACCATCTGAAGGTCCAAGATGCCCAAAGGTGCGTTTCGATCTTCCTTTCACATGTCACAGTAAAACTATGATAAGATTCACTCCTATTAATATCATCTGACTTACATTTTGAGAATCTCGAACTATCTCTGGTACCTTTCTACCTTAATTCCTTTCTATCTATACGAGATGTTGAATTGAAGAGACTATGCCCATCTCATTAGTTTAGTTTGCAGTCAATTAAAATGTTAATTAGACAAGAACACGCATAGCTATATTAGGGAGTAACTAATATAGGTATTATATTTTTTTGCAGGTTCTTGGTGACTTGGTAGAATCCTGTTTGGGGGCTCTTTTCCTCGATTGTGGATTCAACTTGAATCATGTCTGGACTATGATGCTATCATTTCTAGATCCGGTCAAAAACTTGTCTAACCTGCAGATTAGTCCTATAAAGGAACTGATTGAACTTTGCCAGTCTTACAAGTGGGATCGGGAAATATCAGCGACGAAAAAGGATGGTGGTTTTTCTGTTGAATTAAAAGTGACCAAGAAAGGTTGTTGCCTTACAGTTTCTGCAACTGGTCGGAACAAAAGAGAGAGCACAAAAAAGGCTGCACAGCTGATGATTACATCCCTGAAGGTAATTTTTCAAAAAGTCAAAAGAAACTGTAGTGTAACAAATTTCTTCAATTGATGTGATGTATATTTTATCTTAAGCTACCTAGTGTTCATATATGTAACTCGTTATTTGAGAACTTCTTTGTGTAATTCATCCGCAGGCTCATGAGCAAATAACAACCTCTCATCCGTTGGAGGATGTTCTGAAGAATAGCAACCTTAATGAAGCTAAATTAATTGGCTACAATGAAGATCCTATAGATGTTGTGAATCTTGTTGGGCTGGACGTTGAAAACCTAAAAATCCAAGAAAATCTTGGCGAGAATAGTGAAATAAGCAGCTCATACGTCATCAGACGAGGTCTCCCCCAGGCACCATCTAAAACAGAAGACAGGCTTCCTCAAAAGACCATCATAGAAGCAGGTATGTGGATGGATTCTTGTGTCTTTATCAGGAGACTGTAAATTTGGTGCAATCTTGAATTATCGATTCTATTACTCAAACTCCACAGGTCGACCAAGCAGCAAAACCGCAAAATCCCTCTTGCACGAAACATGTGTTGCTAACTGTTGGAAGCCACCACACTTTGAATGTTGTGAGGAGGAAGGACCAGGCCACCTGAAATCGTAAGTAAATTGATCAAACACTGCCAAATCTCTGAACTTGAGCGAGCTAGAAACTTAATAAAGAAAATATCAGGTATTGGATTTTAATGTCATCAATTGTGTGCATGAATACAGATTCTTCTATAAGGTAATCCTGGAAGTTGAAGATGCGCCCAATATGACATTGGAGTGTTATGGTGAGGCTAGAGCAACGAAGAAAGGTGCAGCAGAGCACGCTGCCCAAGCTGCTATATGGTGCCTCAAGCATTCTGGATTCCTTTGATGATGATCTCGAGCAGCTTTATATCGGTTAGAAATAGAGGTTATCATTGGCATATAACTTTACCAGAGCTACATATTAGCATATATGATCGACACATACAATTTCTCGAAAAAGAGAAAAAGATGTCTGAAGACTACCTTAAACCACCATAGATTTTGGAGCGAAGAGCTTTCAAGGCTAAAGTTTTCTTCGATCGCTCTTCTGAATATAAGTACTTATATGTTTACTTGATGCTTGATGAACCCTTAGCATGATGTAGGCCCCAAAAAAATAGTTTACTCTCATCTCTCATGCATCAAATATGATCCTGCGTGATCTTCATTAAACTATATATGAACTAAGCGTTAACTGGTCTTACATTTTCAAAAGAACAAGCAACTGGGACTAGAAAAAGCAAATGAGAATGTTGAGATGGTGTGAAAACTTTGACTTAAGATAAATTCAGAAGTAGAAAGGGGAAACAATTGACAAAGAAATAGCGATATTTTTTAGACAAGATTTTGCTTGCAGCAGGAGTGACATTGTGAAGAAGAAACAAAGGAAATATGATTTGTGATCTATACAAGAGAGTCAATGAGCAACTTCTCTTGGACCAGATGAGAGACTTCATCACCCAACTCTAATCACAAGAAATAGAATTTTCTTAGTGTGAAATAAATATAAAACAAGAAAAGTACAACTAAAATATGGAGCAAGCTCTCATGTTTAACCACAAGATGAGACTCTCCAAGAGTATCCCAAACCATCTTTCCGTCATCACCCCCTTTCCCTTTCACCGACTTCATCTCTGCCTCCACTCTTCGCCGTAGTTCTAATTTCGTCTTCTCCATCTCCATGATAGCCATTGTTGTTGTATCTTCAGCCATTTGAATCCTTAGCTCTGCTTTCCTTTTCCACATCTCAAGCTCTACCGCTCTTTCTTTTTCCATAAGAGCTTCTTTGCAAGCGGCGTGGTACATGTTCATCGTTTCCTTCAGCTCTTTCTTCAGCCTCCTCATCTCAGCCTCGGCGTCATCCGTTGGTGATAGTGGGGAAGCTAAGGTACAATTCTTTTCATCAGAAGGACTATTAAGATAGATAGAAAACCTGGCTTTTTCATCATCCAGACCAGAGAATCTAGGAATATCCAACATGTGTGGAGCTGCAAGTTTCTCATAGAAGGAGAGAACCGAACTGTCTGTACTGAACCTGCTACTAATGTTCACACTAGAATCTGGGTCAAGGGATAAAAACTCCTCAAAGAAAACGTCGTCCTCTCTTGACAATGACCTGCGAGAGCCAATCAATTCAAGAATTTTAATCTCTAGGCATAAACAAACATAATGTAACAGGTTTAGAGTAGATTACATCTCAGAGGGAGCCTCATCGGCGTTGCTGCGTGGTGACAATGGTGCAGTCCCTGAAGAAGAAGATGGCAAGGCTTGAGGTAAAGGCCGAGTGGCTGATCGTACACTTGATAGTCTTCCCTTTGATATGACTAATACACTGCAGAAGTCTGGAGCCCATCTCATCACATTACTTGGAATGTCATCAGCCTTGAACAGCCTTCAAATCAACACCATTTTGGAGAGTTTTTCAGAACAAGATTATTGGGTACTGATGATTTCAGAGAGAAAGATAGCAATACTATTTGGCGAACCTGGTAATGCTCTTCTTCAACGAGGCACCTAGTAAGAATGTGGAAATACAATTCTGGCTAATATATTCAATCAGGGCTTTTGCCACATCTTGATCTTCCAGCAAAACTACTTCGCTTTGTATCTAAATATAGACAATAAAAATCAGAGATGCTTTACAAAAACATGTAGAAAAGATAAGAAAGAAAGCAAAGAAAACAGACCTCATACTTACATTTCTTCGCATACAAAGACAACGCAATGGAAGAAACAGAGTGCTCCGTTTATCATTGTGTGGTCTATCAGATGATTCATCATCTGTGTTGTAAGATCCATTTGCATTATTCAAAGCAGATCTTTGGACGACATGCACGAGTTTGACAGTCCCGCCTCGGGGTATATAATGATCGACAGCCCATTTAAGAGCTTGGCAGCTTGTTGTTTTATCTCTATCAATTGCAATAGCTATAGGCCCTTCCCTTACTTCATTTCTCTCAATATTATCTCTCATATTCGAGATCATTTTCCACTCAAGAGAATGTTATATTGGTAAAGAAAAAGACCTCATTTGGAATTTAAAGAAGAAGAGGTCATAGATTGATCATGGACACAAAAAAAATGATAAACATCTAATAACCAGAAACTAAACATGTGAGTAGAGCCAATATGAGATTTGAAAAGACTTAAAAAGAGGTGTAGAGAAAATAAAAAATTCAAACCCTTCCACTTTGGGAGGAGAACCGAATCTAGCTAAAAATAGAAGTACTGTTATCAACAAGAGTTAATTATATGCATGCAGGGACAAAACTAACTCCAGGACATGCACCAAAAAAAACTGTTATTGAAACATAAAAACCACCCACCAGTATGTTTCAAACAACATCATGAAAAAAGTCAAGTTTCCGTGGCCGTGTTGAAAAAAGATCTGTTGGAACTAACGCATGAAGGTATCAAAATCATATACCATACCGAAGTTGAATATAGGCACTATGGTTAATTGCATTTTAATTCAGTTCGGTTTTGGTTTTGGTTTGGTTCGGTTTGAGATCTACATTACAGTTAACAAACCTTGTAGGTTAGCGACTGGTATGGGGCGCACATTAGCCTGCACGCAAGAAACAAGAGAAAAACAACATCTCTCTCTCTCTCTCTCGGCATCTTCTTCGTTATCTTCAACCTACCCTTTGTCTTACATTGATCCTCTCTCTTTCGCCAATACAAGGTTCTCTTCGATTTCTCTTCTTCTCATTCAATCTCTCGTCGTCTACTTTTCTCCAAAACCAATTGAATTTTTCTGTGTTTTTTTTCTTCTTTTTCTTTAGTCGGTGTATTGTGCGGTGGAGAGGTTCTCACTCTCTTCTTCTTATCCATCGGAATTTCTTGAGCTCGATTTTGGTCTAATTCTAGTTTCTGGTTGACCCAAGTTTGCTTCAAGAATGCTCTTTTTTGGGTCAAATACACTTTCCATTTGAATGATTGCGAATCTTGGGTCATTTGGGTTCCGTTGTCATCGATGGCATTATATTTCCCTAAGCAACTTTAGATTTTGCAGCTGTTTTGTAATTCTTGCATATCATCTTAGCAAGTGAACAAGATTGTGTGGCATAACTTTGACAGCATCTTCTTGTTGTGGATCTGTTGGGCAGGTAGTAATGAAAGGCTTCAAAGACTGGGTTTTCGCTCTATCCAACTCAATGGCATCATCTAGACCCCTTTTGGGAAGTGACCCTTTTTTCCGTGACTCTCAAGAACAAGATAACCAGTGTAAGATATCTCTCTTCCTTCCTCCTGAACGATGAGTAATGCCCCTGATTTATGGCTCTATATGTTACAATGAGAACAACATCGTGAGATGGGTGTGAATATATTACCTCTTAAACTGATCTACTTAACATCTCTTTGTGCTCTGTGACCATATCTTCTTTATGCCAGTCACTGTTTTTCTTGGAATATCAAAGAAGTACTTCCTGTGTTTTGCTCTAATTTGGTCTGAAGATTTCGTTGCTATGTCCATTGCTTTTCAAATTGAATTGGACTTTTCTTTCTGATACTTTAGCCAATTGCTGGTACTATTCAGCTTGATTATTTGATCAATCTCTGCAGTTTCTCTTCTTGCTGTTTTCTTAATGTATTCTTTGACTAATAACTTTCAGTTTTATTTTTAGCTCAAGTACCTGCTGCACCAGAACCAGTGACAAGTTTGGAAGCACCATGTTCAACCAGTGGTGATGTAGAAATTCAGCCTCCTCTCTCTCAGCAACAAGTTCCACTCGAAAGCTTGTACCAGTCAAGTATTGATCTTAATGGAAAGAAACATAATCCACTAGCAAAGATTGGTGACCTCCAAGTGCAGTTCTTACGCCTTGTTCAAAGGTTTGGGCAGTCACAGAATAATATTCTAGTCTCCAAGGTTTTATATCGGGTACACCTTGCGTTGCTGATACGAGCTGAGGAATCAGAACTTAAAACTGTAAAACTTAGGCAAGATAGGGCCAAAGCTTTAGCAAGGGAGCAAGAATTATCTGGCACACCGGAGCTGGATTTCTCACTTAGAATCCTTATCCTGGGGAAAACAGGTGTTGGCAAGAGTGCAACCATAAACTCTATTTTTGGTCAGTCCAAAAGTGAAACCGATGCTTTCCGACCGGCCACAGATCGCATAGAAGAGGTTATGGGAACTGTCAATGGAGTTAAAGTAACCTTTATTGATACCCCTGGTTTTCACCCACTGTCATCTTCTAGCACAAGAAAAAACCGAAAGATTCTCCTCTCTATTAAGAGATACGTTAAGAAGCGTCCACCTGATGTAGTTCTTTACTTGGACCGCCTTGATATGATCGACATGCGATACAGTGATTTTTCCCTCTTGCAGCTTATAAGTGAAATCTTGGGTGCAGCTATATGGTTAAACACGATTCTTGTAATGACGCATTCCTCAACTACTACAGAAGGACGTAATGGACAATCTGTGAACTATGAGTCATATGTGGGCCAGCGCATGGATGTGGTTCAGCATTATATACATCAGGCTGTGTCTGATACAAAACTAGAAAACCCTGTGCTGTTAGTTGAAAATCATCCCAGCTGTAAAAAGAATCTTGCTGGTGAGTATGTTCTTCCAAATGGGTTGGTATGGAAGCCTCAGTTTATGTTTTTGTGCGTTTGTACCAAAGTTCTTGGCGATGTCCAGTCTTTACTGAGATTTCGTGACAGCATTGGCCTGGGACAGCCAAGTAGTACCCGAACAGCTTCTCTTCCTCATCTTCTTTCAGTTTTTCTGCGCCGTCGCTTATCAGCTGGTGCAGATGAAGCAGAGAAAGAGATAGACGAGCTTCTGAATTTGGATTTAGAGGAGGAAGTTGAGTATGACCAGTTGCCTACAATCCGTATCCTTGGGAAATCCCGGTTTGAGAAGCTGTCAAAGTCTCAGAAGAAAGAGTATCTCGATGAGCTTGATTACAGGGAAACCCTTTATCTGAAGAAACAATTGAAGGAAGAATGCCGAAGACGACGGGATGAAAAGCTAATTGATGAGGAAAATCTCAATGACACTGAACAGAGCGACCAAGCAGCTGTTCCACTGCCTGACATGGCAGGTCCAGACAGTTTCGATTCGGATTTTCCGGCTCACAGATATCGATGCGTTGCGGCAGGTGACCAGTGGCTCGTGAGACCTGTCTATGATCCACAAGGTTGGGATCGCGATGTGGGATTTGATGGAATAAATATTGAGACAGCTGCAAAAATAAAAAGGAATCTATTTGCTTCAGCTACAGGACAGGTGAGCAGAGACAAGCAACGTTTCACTATCCAATCCGAGACTAATGCAGCTTATACTAGAAACTCTAGAGAACAGACGTTCTCTGTAGCTGTTGACCTTCAATCATCAGGAGAAGATCTGGTGTACTCGTTTCAGGGCGGCACAAAGCTTCAAACATTTAAGCACAACACAACTGATCTTGGAGTTGGTTTGACATCTTTTGGTGGGAAATACTATGTGGGCGGAAAGCTTGAGGATACCTTATTGGTTGGGAAGAGGGTGAAGTTAACCGTAAATGCAGGTCAGATGAGGGGTTCAGGGCAAACAGCACACGGCGGGAGCTTTGAAGCTTGTATCAGAGGGAGAGATTACCCTGTCAGAAATGAGCAAATCTGTTTGACAATGACGGCTCTGTCATTCAACCGAGAGCTGGTCTTGAACTATGGTTTACAGACTCAGCTTAGACCAGCCCGGGGCACGAACATAGACGTCAACATAAACATGAACAACAGGAAAATGGGGAAGATAAACGTGAAACTCAACAGCGCTGAGCACTGGGAGATCGCTTTGATATCAGCGTTAACGATGTTCAAGGCTTTAGTACGGCGGAGGAAGAGTGAAATGACGAAGGAAAATGAAGAAGAAGAGTTGTGACTTTTCTTCGTTTCCTGGTTTCTCTCTAAAATTAGGTAAAGAAAAGATATAACTGATGTAAGAGACAGAACATGCACATCTGCTTCAATTGTTCTATATGTTATACTCTTGTCTTGTTGATAACTGATGTGCATGAGTCTCGTTGTTCTAGTGTGAAATGTTTACGTGGTTGTTAGAACAGATTTTGGCTCGCAAATATGATGCAAAAATAAAAAAATTAGTCATTTGTTTGTCACAACTCACAAGTAGAGAGATAAATATACAAAAAAAAAAAAAAATTGCTTTACAATTTTATGAAGTCTTCTTATCTAAGGGCATCATCAATGGGGATCATGTGAGGGTGTTCTTATAGAGAATATAATGTTAAAATAATGTAAGATCATGTGTTTAGATCTTTTGTTTAGAAGTTGATTAGTGGGAGAACATGTGTAAGATCTTAAGACTTAATAATATAATAATCTAAATTAAATTAAGATTTTACAATTATTAAAACATTTAAAAATAACATATAAATTGCAAATGCCAAATTTATGAAAAACTGAAAATAAAAGTGAAAATACAATACTAAATATTTATGAAAAAAACATTAAAAATATAAATAACAATAAACAAACAAACATATTACTTAATAAAAGCACAAAAACATTTTATCTAATTAATATATAGTTTATTATCCAAATTTATTCCAAATATGTTGAATATTCCAACCAATGCCCAAATGCCACGTCACCCCGCAACACCCACAAGAACAGATCCAGGTCAAGAGCCCAGTTCCTGATCTTAAGCCCATTGACCCATTTTTTTGGATTTAAATAATGCTTAGATCAGGGGGGTGATCCCCCAATGCAGATGGTCTAAGAGAAGAAAAAAACTTGTACGAAACAAATAAAAAGATTGGGTATGTCAATAATGACGGGCCCAAGTAATAAGATGGGCCAGATGATAATAGGCCTCAAAGGGTTACTAGGGTTTATACTCCCTATATATTTATATTTAAGCTCTTGGTTCACTCCTCTCTACACCGCGCAGCTAAACTTTGTTGGAGAAACCCTAATCGGCGACAATGGGTACGAGCCATCTCTCCTTCGATCTCGTTTCTCTGTAAGCTATTGATGTTAGATTCTGATATATGGATTCTGGTTTCTCTTAGGTATTTCTCGTGACTCCATCCACAAGAGGCGTGCCACTGGAGGCAAGCAGAAGCAATGGAGGAAGAAGCGAAAGTGAGTCTTTACATTTTCTCATTTTTCAGATCTCTTTCGATTCATTTTCTGCTCCGTTATTCGTAGGTTAAAGTTTGTGAATCTCCGTTTTATAAACGCTTAAGAGATAGTCCGATCTTGTGATCTGTTAAATCTGAGTATGTGCCTTTAGTAGATTCGGAATCTGTAGATTACTGGAATTATTTCGCCAAATCATAGTATGTGATTCTTCATAAGTTATCCGATAATTGTTAAAACATAGTAATTGATGCGTTTCTCACATTTCTGGTGTCACTGATTCATGATATGTTGTTATTCGATTTATTTTGGTGTTGTATTTCTGATTTGTGAAGTTTTATGTTTTGGTTTGTGAAGGTATGAGATGGGAAGGCAGCCAGCCAAC